CGTGCAGATAAGTCCATTACAAAAGCTTCTTTTTTTCTGAAACGTACCACTAATTCAAAAGAATATTTAATGTAGTCAGTTGCCTCATTTCTATAGAGCGAAAATTCTTTTGAAAGACTTACATAGAAGCTTTTAAATATGTATTGTTAATAAGCAGGCAAAAAGCCCACCGGCGTACTTGAAGAAGAGTGATCATGGCCGTCATATTAACCAAGGGATGGAAAACTTTGCATTTACGGTCGACTTGTTGTTGGAGTTTTTCTTTAAGTTTTCAACAAAAATCATTAAAGTGTTTGTATTCCAACTAGGACAATGTAATTTATAAATAAGTGTCAAATAAAGTTAATTTAATGATTATTTAAGTTATGTTGGTTATTTTTATTAGGCAAAAATATTAGAACCTTTCCTTTATTAAATAATATGTACATATATAAAAGTAGAGTTTTACACATTAAACGTTAGCAAATTCGCTGTGTAGTGGCGGTGTAAAAATATCCACTAGGTACCTCATATCGTCCCGTGGGTGTCGTAAGAGGAGACAGAGGGGAACCGAAACAAGAGATGGGCAGCAGCGTCTCCCTAATAATAACTCAACATAATTAAAAAAAAACATGCCAAGCGAAGCAAGTATGGCAAAACCCCCTATGAGGCAATACATGGGGGAGGCCTATGTTCAGCAGTGAAACTTTTATGGACTGTAACGCACGGATGGAAATAATTACAAAATTATTGTATAATTTATAGCCTTAATTACGGCATTAATAACAAAAAGCTTTACCAGTACCGGCAAAACCTTTGACAGTTTATATAAGTTTACCCTTCATCCATCTATTTTACCCTTTGCCTTAGGGTACTAAATTAATAAAATAAAATTATAGCTTTAGTGATCTCACTTACAGTCACTATAATTTCACGCATAATTTGTCTACTTTAAGCATAGTCTTTTCTGCCGACTTCCAAAAAGGAGACGGTACTCAATTCGACTGTATGTTTTTTTATGTGTGTTACCTCATAACTTTGTACTGGGTGAACCGATTTCGATGATTATTTTTTTAGAAGAAAGCTTATATTTCTCTTGTGGTCCCATATGAATTTGATCAAGATCAGACCAATAGTTTATGAGTTATTTTTAAATTAACTTATATTGAAGTCGGCTGTACAAAATTTTTAATTTTAAATTATTTTATTGCAATAGGAATTGTTATTGGTCTAGAATTCCTAATCGTATACGTTGTTTGTGGTTACAATTTGGTATTTCTCTGATTTACATAATTATTGTTATTTAACAGTGAGTTAAGGAAACTGTTTTCATGATATTTATGATGATTCACATTTTGAGCATGATTCACTGATGAAATTGTTAGTTACTCTGATATACAATATGCTTTTCATTTAATTTACAACGGTAGTTTAAATAGTGCCAATTTACCATAATTAACTTTATTTTACTTCTGTATGCTACTGAAATTAAGCTAGAGTTATTTGAACTACCAACTAACGGAACTAAATGTCAATTTTATCGCCTACTTTCATTGGGATCTTTCAGATTATTAACAATATGTGTTATATGGAATTTAAAGGATTTAATGCTGCTGTTCTTACTATTTACTTCAGACATATCACACCTTAAGCTTAGATAACCTCTCAAGAAGACCAAATAACTTGGAATACCAATAATACCTTAGTTGCAGCACGGGTAGCATGGACTGGGGACAAAAAAATTGTCCACCGATTATATCCACTGACAAGAGATAAAACTATCCTGTCCTTATACTAAAGCACGGCAAAGGGGAGGTATATTTCTCCCCGTACGTAGCATGGATCCAAATGAAAGATAAAAAATTATGCTTTTTTGACATTTGAAACGGACAATTTTATCCTAGACGTAGGTTAAGTTTATATTAATACAAAAAATCTATCTATGTTATAGTCTATCTGCCATTTTATCTACTGTGAACATTATATCCACCGGTGTGCTCAAGCTCGAAGGGTGGATAAAACTAAGCGAGGGGATAAACATTTTGTCCTTTCCCCGGGGATAAAATTGTCTCCTGCCCGCGCTAGCCCTGCTGGTTGTCCTCCTGTTTGTCCCCTTTCTGCGGACAGTATGTTTTGTGGGTTTTGAGAACATCCTCATTACGCGGGCATCATCTCGTTGGGCACGGCTCTCCCAATCCCGGATGCTGCGGTTGCAGCTTGTAGGTTAGGTTGTTGCGTACTTTACGGCATCTAATCGTTCTCGGGACTCTCACTCGTCCCCAGCTCCCCTCTCATCGGGCGATGAACACAGCAGTTCTCGTGGGAATGGCCGCCCGTCAGGTGGGCGCGCATGTAGAGGTATCAGGTAGATGTGGATGTGGTCCGTTATTTGCGCAGTCGTATAATCATCTCGTAGTCCACAAAGACTTCTATGGTCTCGATCTTAAGATCGCTGCTGATCACGTCGTTTTAGACGTAACGGCCGGGTCCCACAATCACTCGTAGTGCAAGGTTCTGCTGGGCTTGCATCTCCTTGCGCTCAGTAGCTGAAGTCAACGAGTATCAGGTTGGTGCTGTGTATGTCAACCGCGAGCGGACGTAGGTCTTGTAGATGTCAGTTTTGGTTGGTGTTGGTAGTTTCGATGCCAGTAGAGTTTTGCTCATGCGACTGTGCCCTGTCTCACTAAGTGACCTGAGGGATAATGCGCAGCGAGCGATCTATCTGCCATCCGTACCATAGTACACTTGCACTACTGGTTTCCGGCCTAAAGGGTCTATATCCTTTAGAGAGCCAGTATTTTACAGAGTGACGTGAGCAGGCAATCTTAACCCTCAGTGTTGTCAACAGCCCACATTGTACAGCCTTCTTTATTAGTTGGTTGCAGGTGTCTATGGTGTCCATGGGCTGCATAAGGCACTTACCATTTGGTGGACTAAAGTCCGCTTGTCACTTCAATTGTATATAATAATGTTCAATTTCACCTACTTGCAGACGGTTGGCTGACTTGAATTATTCCAGACGCATTAAAATCGATGACACCACAATAATTTCAAAACTATGATAAGGACTAAATTACTCCTAATATTTTTTTAAGCAATCGAGTAAAAGCCTTCCACATTTTGGTTAATTCCCGCGCCTTTATAATCTAATTTTTGCCAACTGCTTGTTTTATCTCGTTCCGTGGGTTTTCTTGCTGTTTTTTCTTTTTAGTCCAATTATCTTCACTCATGCGTGCAACGTGGCTAGCCCTTCATTATTTAAGCTTTTACAACGTTTCAGAGCATCAGTCTTTGTAATTTTTCCTAAATTTGTGTTCTTCCGTTTTTATTCTGTGGAAAAAATTATAATATTCTACACCATTACTATTATACATATTAAAAAAAATAGTTATTGTTAAATTTAGCCGTGATGGCAGCGCAAGAGAATCCATCATCAAAAGTTTCCCATGGATATGGATAATGCCAAAAAGATCTCATGGCACTCGATAGATATCTATAAGCATCTAGTTTACGCATGCGTAAAATATTAAGACCATTGACCTCTATACAGAGTTATTTTTCAAAGAGTAGCCAAATTTCAAATACATATATAATGTTATACCGTTAATATAGCTTTTAAAAATACGAGTAAATAAGTCTTCTGCTTTTATTTGAAATTATCCTAAATTGAATGTGATTTATGGGCAACAACTTTTTGCCTACCGATCGACAATTACAAATGTGTGCGTGCGCAGTAAAATCGGTTAAAATAATGCATTACTATGCATTTTGAATTTAAAAGATAAAAAAGACATAATATTTGATTTTTTTATTAATATTTCTTCACCATTTGGCTATACCTATTACTTATTCTAAGCCTTCTCTTCAAATTTGGCCGGTTATTGCAAAATAACCCTGTACATACAAGTACGCATCCAGACCGATAAAGGGAATCAGCACCACAAGTATGATACGTCTGTCGTACTGTGATCTCCAACCCGGCTTCCTAGCGTGGTGGTTAAGGCAAATCGTCCTTAAAATGATAGAGGCTCTACTGTTTAACGATTGTCTCCGTTACTTTATTATTGTATTAAGACCACCGTGTAGTGGCGCTGTAACCGCACTAACCGTGTAGTGACGCTGTAACCACGCTAACCACTACACAGTGGTGGAGTAAGCATATCCACTACCCCATATCGTCCCGAGGGTGTCATAAGAGCCGGGAATATGAAACAAAAGATGGGAAGAGCGTCACCTGATAACATCATAAATAATAAAAATATTGCTCTTGCTCTCGCCAAGCGTGATCTTACTGAGCAAACTATGAGGGAGGCCTTTCTTCAGCAGGGGACTTTTATTGGCTTATTTTTTTTTATTTTTTTTTTTGATGGATGGATGATTAAGACTGCATTCATTCCATCATAATCCCCAAGGGTGACTACGCATCTGCGTCTTGATTTAAATTGAGGATAGATAAAAGAAATATGTAGTGTAGCATGAATTCGTGCTTTCCGGCTAAACCGAAGATCGCCACCAATCCCCTACTCCACCAATTCTCGCAAGTCTGTCGATCAGCGAGTAAAAATCATTGATTTTTTTTTTAATGAACAAACCCTTTTACCGTGTAGTAGCGGTGCAAGAACATCCACTACCCTATATCATCTCCTGGTTGTCGTAAGAGGCAACAGAGGGATACTAATCAGGAGATGGGCAGCAGCGATTTCCTAATAATGACTAAAAACAAAAAACTACGGTTGCCGACCCACGGCAACTTTGGCAATTATCCCCTAAATGAGGCAGTCTATGGGAGACGCAACATGAACAAAACAAAAATTTCTTTTATTTTTTACCTTTTGGGGATTTTTCAGGGCAAGTTGTCTCTAATAAACTTACTACAACTAAATACTGATGGGCACTCCAGATATACGAAAATCGCTTAATTACAAATCGCGGCAGCTGACTTTTATTTGCATATTTACAAAATCGTTAACGATATCCTCATAATTACACAGAAATACATTGCTTGGCTTTTATCATTTCAGATTCATAAGTTATGACACCGACTGTTGGTGATGGCGCCGAGCCGCCACACATCGTCGTGCTGGATGGAGGTTTCTCTACGCAGCTGTCTTGCCACGTGGGACACATCATAGATGGAGACCCGCTGTGGAGTGCCCGCTTTCTTCATACGCATCCTAACGAGGTGGTGAATACCCACTTAGACTTTCTTAGAGGTACCTATATTTAACCAGTAATTTTATTTACGATTCCAACGAATCGCCCTGACTTGATACAACAGTGAGCTAGTTATAAGTTAGTGTAGCAGTCCATGAGTGGTATAAGAAGTGGTAGGGGGAAATGAAACAAGAGATGGGCAGTAGCATCTTCCTAATAACAACTTAAAATAATTTAAAAAATGCGGTCGCAAACCCGATGACCAAGCGTAGCAACTGTGAGGCAATCCTATAGGGAAGCTATGTTCAGCAGTGCACTTTTAATAAGCTGTAATAAAGAAATGAATGGAAAATTCTTAAAATTATCATACATTAGCGGCCTAAAAGTATCTAATGTATCAACGTAATAAATTTCACTCCGTGGGTGTCGTTAAATTCCACTAAGACTTCTGTCCACAGAAGCGTTAGCTTAGAAGCTTCAAAATACATCGTGAATCTTGTAAAGCTTAGTTGTATAAAGGCTTACCTAGAAATGTGATATTAACACTAACAGTATTTACTCCTATCTATCTATATTGATCAACGATAAATGTGTGTGACTTTAGGATCAAAGGTCATAAATAAAAGTAGGGAGAAAGTGGGGTTAGAGAGAAAATAAAAATGATCCTTGAGCTGTTCCTTGAACAAAAGTAAAGGTTGAGCACGTTTAATCATCAGAGATAAGGAGTTCTAAAGTTTTACTCCAAAAACAGAGAAAGATTTATGATATTTAGAGGAGTGCACATGACATTGGAGAGAAAAGTTTGCCTTGCACCGTAAGGAAAAATCATGACAGGAGCTGATCAATTTAGAACGTTATTTTAGATAGGGAGGCCTTGATATATTAAATAAGACGCAGTAGAGGGCAGAAAGAATATGAGTATTCTGACGGAATCGGTTTGGATATTTATAATAATACAATTCATCGATACTTATGAAATCAATAAATGAGAAGCAACAGATATTTTCTCAGTAGATGATTGAATTAATATAAAGGACTTAGTAGGCTTTGCTCCGTGAGATGCCGGACGACAGCCATCATGAAGCTTTCATGCAGCGACCCAAATGTTATTCTACGTCTAGGTCGACGATCAACTGCGGGTTATAGCGTTTAAGGCGCATGGGGTCTAGTTTTGCGATTACCAACCCGCCTGCTAATGGTGATGCGTCAAAATTAAGAGGATATGTCAATCTATTTTGAAGAGTTCTCTCAATTGCGTACACTATCACTGCAACCACTAATCGCAACACAGCTACACTAGAGTAGACAAACCGTCAATAATTCGACAAGTGTTTCGCCTCTAAACGAGGCATTATCTGGAGAAATAGACTTAGTGATGGCTAACCGCCAAATTAGTAAAGGTCATTTGTTTTCGTTAACGTAAACATTCTGGGATCGGGATATTTGTGAAAAGAACATCAAAATATAAAATAATGAATTAAGAGATTATACGAAAATCTTTAACTTAGGAAATGAGATCTAAACTATTTTTAATACTTTATGGTGGATTAAATTCATATTTGTCTTGCAAGAGGAAGTTTTATCTTAACATCTTTAATGTAATAGATTTCCGATTTATTACCTACTTGAAAGAGACTATGTTTAAGATAAATTCAAAATAACTATTGAATAATGTGTAAATACCGTACATACAATGTTTAATTTTAAAGCATTTCATACATATTAGAATATCGTATAAGACAGCAAAATATAAAGAAAAATCAGGCCTGCGCCAATGACGCCAATACACTTCTACGCTTTCGCAGAAATTTAATTAATGAATTCGTGTAAATGTAAGCTTACAACAAAGAAAGAGTGGGAGGCGTCGCAATATTGGCCTGATAAATTGAATTAGAGAGAATTCAACGATGTTTATTTAACGTTAAGCTTTAGATAAGATAATATATATAAGATAATATATAAGGTATATATATATAAAAGAAAAGTTTTTACAGGCAGGAGAGGATTTAAATGCTTAATAACCTTACTCAAGTTATCAAGCAACCACACTTTAAATAAAATATTATTCAATCTTATCTAAAGCTTAACGTTAAAGAAACATCGTTGAATTCTCTCTCTCTCTCTCTCTCTCTATATATATATATATATATTTATTTATTTATTTATTTATTTATTTAGAAAACCAACAGCGTATATAGAAAATATTAACATTAATGTAACAAACTTAAAGTATGGCCAATAACAGGTTTCCCTTATATTGTTTGATGGTAGGTGTATGTATATATATATATATATATATATATATAGAATAAGGGTGAAAAACTAGCACAATCTCCACCTGATGGTAAATGGATACTGTGGCCCATAGTCATCTACCTCTATCCTACCCCGTGTGGACTAAGACGGAATGCCTCGTTTCTAGTAAAAGTAGGCTCTCCGGTTCTCTCCACACACGAAACTGCATCTGTTTTACAATGGTATTTTGTGAGAGCGTGGTCCTTTCCTATTCGAGCCGCCCATTTGTGACTCAACCATAATATAGCTGCCACGTAGAAAAATTGTGTCAATTGTGACGTTTCTCAAAATAATTGCCCATGAACAGACGGATTTTTGAGCGCATTGCAAGATAACCTCGCACTAATGATGCTGTTGGGTGAATTTTCCGCTATCTGTCTGTCGTCAGAGCCTTGCCTGTCGTTCGGTTCTTGAAGAATAAGTTGGTATAACATTATATTTGGTGTGAAGTGATAAGGGCACTCCTTTGCCAATCCACCTCCTCCAAAATTATGTTGACATCTAAAATAGATAACGGAATAACGACTGATGGAATGATGAGGAAGAGCAGCATCTAGAATGCAAAAAAAATGGTATTGTAATAATTTTAATTCACATCATCAATCCGCCTGATCAACGTAGTGTGTACGGTAAAAAGCGATACTTACGGATTCCAATTTTACCGTGAAAAAGACACAAACAAACAAGAGGTCATAACGAAGGATAAGGAATAATATAATTTATGTGGTACAAAATCTTTCTACATAAAATGTTTTTTTTGTGGATATGTAAAACTACATTTAAGTGATGCTACATTTTTCTTAATTTTTCCTTGATCAAAATAATTATTGAAGAAATATTACTTATTTACCTATTTGTCAATTCCAAAGAAACGGCGAGTTCCGTTTAGTGAAAATTAATTTTGTATTAACATTTTAATAACATACGTTTTTCATAAAAGTTACTTTGAGCTGATAGTCTGATCACAAAGGTTATGTAATAAAGCGGAACTAATAACCAAATATTTGCCAAAGATCTCTTCCAAATTAAGATAATATTGGGAAAAGCAGCCGCTGTAACAATTTCCAAGCGAAACGCTTATTGAACATTTCGGTGCCGCTGCAGTTTGGAATAAGATTTTGCTTGTTTTCTTTTGACGTGGAATAAACTTAATGAAAATTGTGAAGGTTAAAACTAATAGTAAAATTGTTTTCAAGTTGCAATTTTACTAAGTGCTAACGTAACCGACAGTCATCTTATTAATAACATATTTGTCTATACACACACATAATATTATGGGGTAATTGCTTTGTCCTCTATTTCAAAGGAGCGATATGAGTGAGGATGTAGATATAACTACGCGGAGGCCTCATCTAAATACGTAGCAGTATGCAAAAGCGTCAGTGTTCTCAGTGTTGCACAGAACAGAATTTAGACGTACGCGTACGAGTATTCGCGTGTTTTGACGAATTGCACGTTAGGTCGCTTTTAGCTTGTCATTTCCTAGCATCTGACAGCGAGAGTGCGACCCCGTCTCATGTCATCGTCCTCTGAAAGCGCTTTTCTTCGCCACAAAACGGACCGTTTCTTTTCATAAGGAAAACTGAAAAGTGTCTGCAAGCAAATATCTCCGTGGAGGGAAAAAGCCTACTGACTTGCTTTGCCGCCTTCGTCAGGGGAAATGAATGATATGAATAAACATAAAAAATGGCTCCATTGTGCGAACATTTCCGCTAAACATATACATATACATTTTGTTTATCTTTTATAGTATACTAATATGTACACAATTTTTAATTAAGTCCTTATGCATTTCTTTTTTATCACTAACTGCCTCTTTCATGTTTTATATGTACATTGATATGTAATATATTGTACGGTTATATGTTCATAAAGCACTTGATTCTTGAAATGGCTACAGCAAGTGTTCCCATTAATCACCTTGTCTATCCGAGTAATACGTTACCAGTCGCAGGCTTCGCGCCATCCTCTATTTATTACGTTATTAATTTCTGAAACCCGACAAAGGTTCGTTTTGTCGAACAGTCTTATTGAACTTCACAAACTCTATTGCATTACCAAGTTTTAATAACATTAATTGTTTACTTCTCTTGAGCGCATGCTGTTCCTAGTTAATAATAGTACGAGAAGGCAAATTCAATATTTATAGATTTAGTTTAGCAATACAAATTTTCAAAGCCTAAGTAATAATAGTTTATAGGAGAGTAATGGGGGCAAAATCTTAAACTGTAGTTTTAACAACTAGGCTTTGTTAAAGTTGGAAAATTTTACGTTGCCAATATCCGCTCAATAAAATAAAATGATGTGTCTTACCTAGTTTGGAGAACACCTCCCGTCCTCCCTCTTTTGCGTGCACTATCCTCGTCACCACTAACCCCACCACCACTACACTCTACTTAGATTCTACTACACCTGAAGATGCCTCGTGTGGAGGCGAAACACGTGTCGTATTATCGTCGGTGATGTGTCTTTCCTAGTGTAGTGGTGTGGGAGTAGTGCTGCTGGTATTAGTGGTGACGGGGATAGTGCACGCAAATGACGGAGGGCAGGAGGTGCTCTTCAAACTAGGAAAGACACATCATTTTATTTTATTGAGCGGATATTGGTATTATACATTTTTCCAACTTTTATATATATTTTCGTAAAAGTAACGCCTGATTCTATTAACTAGACTTTGATTATTTTATCATTACTGAAGAATTGATTACTATTTTTGTTTATATAACCTCTACTTTTTACAGCGGGAGCTCACCTAATAATAACAAATACGTATCAAGCATCACTTGACGGTTTTGTGGAACATCTTGGCGTAACACCCGAACAAGGTTACGCGCTTATATTGCGTGCTGTAGAGCTAGCAAAGCGCGCTCGCACTCTTTACTTGGAAGAATATGAAGACTGCATTCAGGATGGTAATATAATATTTATGTTCTATTCTTTTATTTATTTTTAATATCAATACAATAGTAGTAGAACAACTACGTCCAAGAATACTTCTACTATTTTTATACTACTAGATTAAAAAACGAGCTAACCAGTCCATCTGATAATAAATGGCTCCTGCATATAGATTTTATACGTGGTAGAGCCATGCTGCAGCTACATTAAATGTATAGTTGTAGCACAAATGGGTCGGCTCGACCGGGGAAGGACCACGCTCTCGCAGAATACCAGCGTAAAATGGCAGCTTAATGCTGCTGTGTTTCGTACGGTGACTGTAGAGAGCTGGAGTACCCTTTTTACTGGAAAAGAGGCATTCCATCTTAGTCCTCACGGGTGACAACGCATCTGCATTTTGATTCGTAATCGAGGATAGATGTAGATGTCTGTGGGCCACAGCAACCACTTACCATTAGGTGGAATGTATGCTCGCTTGTCACCCTTATCCTATAAAACAATAAAGATTTCTAAAGCAACTAGCTCCGAAAAAAAGGCTGCAGATGCATTGTTTCTCTGTGGAATGAGGTGGAATGAGATGGAATGCTCTTATCTTATATTTATGCTAGTCGCTTATCCTTTCAAACCAGAAAACTAGTCGGCTTACTTCAATATATATTGGGGAATGTAAAACATGTCAAAATTCGACAGACGGCGACTTTAGACTTTAGACTGTTCACAAACAAAAGCGGCGGAATACTAGTGTAACTAATAATTATTGTTGTTTCGACTTTCAAGTGTCTACTTATACATAAAAATTTATTAAAAATATGTAAATGTAATAATTTCAAGAATGCTTAAATTTTGTTTTAACAAAGCTGCTCGAGTTCATGTATCACAAGGGACGGGTGCAAGCACGCATTAATTACATTTTGGTAGGGCTTAAAGTATTTGTATGAAACCCGTTGAAACAGAGAATTAGGGAAATAAATGACTCTCAGGTCTCAGCAGGTATTATGCTTGTATTCAGATCATGTCCCGTTGGTCGTGGGATCAGTGGGTCCGTATGGAGCTCACCTTCACGATGGATCTGAATACGATGGCAGCTACGCCGATACGACCACTGTTCAGGTAAAAATTATTATACAGCATACGCTAAACACTGACGAAAATCTGAGTATATACAATTTACAAGTGAAATATCCGCTATAATGTCACTACCATTTTGACTCCCAACTGCGCGACACAAAGGAGCTTAATGTGTTTAACAGCCTCGAGACCAAAAATCAATTGATTTGTCTTATGCTTGTGAAAATCGCTAAAGACATGACATTAATTAAAATTCAGTGTGACAACAAAATCAGACGCCATATTGAAAAAGAAAAAAAAATTAAGTTGTCGAACTTTGCCGATGTCTTTGAAAATCACCTTTAGGTTTGTCTAAACATTTTTCATTTTGAATGATCAATTAGGATCTATATCGATTTAAAGTTATATAATATAAAGCTGTGATAATATTCTTGTATATCTAATCGTATAATAGGTTCTAATAAAATTTATTTACGCAGGCGGGATTTTTTTATAATCAGTAACTAGTTTTTAAAATCAGTGTTTAATTAGGATAAAATGTTAAAAAAACCTGAAGATCTTGTCTTCCGACTTGAAGAAAAATCGTTGAAAATTACAGTTTGTTTTTCTTCAGTAATAGAAAACTTGTTTCTAAACAGTAATAGATTTAAAAAAAATACATTGAAATTTTAAATACTTACGTTGAAAAGAAAAATAAAACCATTTCACTGGCTGCAACGTGACTCTACCATGTCTAATGTAATCTATAACCTATATAACAATATAAATCTATATTTTAAGTTTAAAATTAGATATAACCTATTACTTTATTTCAAGGGAATGGTGTGAGGCGCTAAGCTCGACCGATTGATTTAAATTAAATGTTTGCTGGACTAGAGGGTATAAATTCTGAACGGGTGTTTTTATTACTGTACATTACGATGTCGAAGTGCGCGGAGTTCCCTAACTATTTTTGTTTAAAAATAAAATTACTACGTTAATCATTTCTTGTCTTCCATTCAACAAATGTATATTTATAACGTGAAAATAAATGTCAATAAATCTTGACAAATCTTAGTTTTATTATCAATAAGAGTAAATATAATATTAGTTAACTTATTTGTAAACGTTTATAAGCTACGATAGTATGTCTGGGCAAAACGCCAATGTTTTATCACATTAGTAACTTCTCGGTTATAATATCGTATCAAAGACGCTGAAAAGAAACTAGAAACTATTATCTGGCCACAGCATTTACAAAGAACACAACATGTAACACGTGAGATTATTTATACTGAACCCCATTAGCTATGAAAACGTACGTCGATGAACGATCTGGTAAAAGTTAAAAGCGCAAGCTAAATCGTAAAAGAGAGTCGTAAAGCTGCCGGCAAATTAAAATTTACATCGGCAATATGGAAAAAAACGCTTTGCCATTCCTCGGACTTTTCGCTGAACGGAGTTGTCTGGAGTGGACAGTTAATTAATGGTACCTAGAACAAATGAATATCAAAAAACAAACACGATTTAAATTAAAGCTGGATGATCTTTTATTTTATAAATTTCGAATCGCCTTTTATACAAATATATTTTGTTACATTTAAGTAATTAATATAGGACGTGTGAAGTCAGAAGACGCGTAATTTTTAATAACGAAAAATTCACCATCCATTCGATGTTTTAAAAATTACACCTAGGAATGGCTCATCGCCTTTTTCGACGAATAATAATAAATGAAGCGTCATTGATGTAGTGCTTTTAATACGCCCATAAGTTATAATTTATGTTATGAGAGTAATTTTTTTTTAAATTAAAACAATGCTCAACGTGTATTCGAGAAAAGCACGATTTTTATAATTGTTACGGCTAAGAGCCGAAGTGCAGATAACACCTAGGTTTAGCCGGCTACTACTAGGTGCAGCCTCTTGCGGTTGGTTAAACTTAGGTGTATCATATATAATTTATAAATTAGATAATAGTCTGCGGCTTTGGCCCCAACCGCACTTTAACCGTATTTTTACAAATTTAACAGTACACCTAAATTTAACCAACTACTGCCGGCCGGCTACAATTGGGTGTAACCACACTTCGGCTTTTAGCCGTATCATTATCATTTTATCATATTAACCGCACATTTTTGGTATATTTTTAGGGTTCCGTACCTCAAAAGGAAAAAACGGAACCCTTATAGGACCACTTTGTTTTTCGTCTGTCTGTCTGTCTGTCAAGACCCTTTTTCTCAGGAACGCATGGAGGTTTCAAGCTGAAATTTATATCAAATACTCAAGTCTACTGTCCCTTGGAGCTGTAAAAAAAAACTTCTAAGCCAACGCAATCAAAAGATACAGCCGTTGATGCCGCAAATTTTTGACATTCGCAAGGGAATCAAAACCTACAGGGTACTTCCCGTTAACTCAGAATTTAAAATTAGGTACGAAGCAACGTATTATAGCACAGATAAAGGAAAAATTGCTAAAAGGAATAATTTTTAGTTACATCATATAATAAAAATATTTTTAATAATTTTAAACTTATATACCTACGGATTTGATCGGAACCCTCGGTGCGCGTGTCCGACTCGCACTTGGCCGGTTTTTTTAAGTAGGTTGCAGGTGTCCATGGATTGCAGTAGCTACTTACCATTAGATTAACTGTAAACTCGTTTGTCGTTCTATTAATAAATAAATAAAATATTCAACAGACAATGCGCGAATGGCATCGACCACGGATCCAAGCTTTAGTGGAAGCGGGGGTAGACTTACTTGCTTTGGAGACAATACCTTGTCAAGAAGAAGCCGAAATGTTATGTGACCTGTTGCGCGAGTTTCCACATGTAAAGGCATGGCTTTCTTTCAGTTGTAAGGTTTGTATAAAGTATTTTAATTATGAGCGTATGAGATAGTAACAAGACAATATAAAGATATAATTAACATGAATAACACCTAAAAGTTAAAAAGTATAAGCTAAGGTGACATGAACCTAAAAGCCTTTAAATTAATATTAACGAAAACTTAATTTACATTTTACATTAATTATTATTCACCCGTAAATTATTGATTTTCATTAGCATTGTTCATTTAGGCCATGTCATGACATGTAAGAATTCTAGGGTAATGAAATTAACCAAAAGTGAATATCATAACTACAGGACGACCAAAGTATAGCTCACGGTGAAAGCTTCCAAAAAGTGGCCAAAAAATGTTGGGAAGCGAATCCAGATCAATTAGTGGCGGTGGGAGTGAATTGCTGCGCGCCTTCCTACGTATCAGCTCTATTGAAAGGGATCAACGACGACCGGCCCCACTCCCCCATCCCATTGATTGTTTATCCCAACTCAGGCGAAAAGTACAATCCACAAATAGGGTAAGTTTCAATTAGCCACCTTCTGATATGCCAATATAATATGTGCATATTTTATGTAATCTCGTCTTTATTATTAAAAACATTATCAAAAGGATCATAACAGCTCTATTATTGCATGCCGTAAGCGCCTAAGCGCGTCGGTATGTTCTACTAGGGCCTAAAAATTTTATTAATTCAGCACTTAAAATTTATTTTTCTCATAAATTACAGCCAATCAAAAGTCCACTGCTAAACATAGGCTTTTCAAATAGATTGCCTAACATCCCCCACATTTTCCTTAGCCACCAAGCTTAGCACATTTTTTTAATTATTTTGAGCTGTTATCAAGCAGGTGCCTTGATATCGTGGCAGATTCAGGCTATATGTGCTACCTATAAAAAAATATTCATATTTGGTTGAGCCACACCGCAGTTATGTATATTATGGTTGTAGCAAGAATGGGTCGGCTCGACTGGGGAAAGATCACGCACTTATAGAATACCAGCGTGAAGTAGCAGCTAAATGCTGCTGTGTTTTGTATGGTAAGCGTAGGGAACCGGAGACTTTTTACTGGAAACGAGGCATTCCATTTTAGTCCTCAAGGATAACATCGTATTCGGTATTTTGATTCTTAATCGAGGATAAATGCATTTGCATGATAATTGCAATTGTCTATGGGCACACGGCATCCACTGCATCTTCACTCTTAACCATCAGGTGGACTGTGCTTCTTTGTCACTCTTATTCTATAAAAAATGGCACCCATATTTCCTACTTTAGTTTCATTCGGACACCTTTACCATAACATCCCGTGGGTGTACCAGGGGATGATATGGTACCGACGTAATACGAGGAGTGTTGTAAGTTTAACCGCTGTGTGTGTTTGTGTGTCTGTCTGTGGCACCGTAGCTTTTAAACAGTTTAACCGATTTAGGTGCAGTTTTATTTTAAATTTAAAAACAGGTTTTCTAGCGATGGTTCTTAAACCTGTTTTATCAAAATCGGCCGTTTGAAGTTCATCAGACCTTTTGGTTTCGGGGGTTTTTAAATATTCAATTTAAGTTATATTTATATCACTTTATATGTACTTATTAAAAGGGTTTCATATGTTAATGCAATACAATATAATAAGTATATTAAGCGAGTAAAACAATCTTAGTACTATTAATAGCAAAACGAGATCTTCTTTCTGACCATCAGTCCATAAATAGCACAGCTGGACATGTGCCTCTCCCTTAGTAGGCCACTAACTGTAATCGTGGATAGTGATTGCAGTACCGGATGGCACGTCCCGTCGCCGCGCCGGCCTGGGTATATTGCACGTATAAACACGAAATGTAATACACCATCTGTGAAAGGTCACAAATGTTCCGACATATTTTTATGACACCCACGGTAATGATGGTGTGACGATCTCTTATCACGGCACAAAAGATTTGTTATCCTTACTAAACATTTTACGTTTACTTTTACTTCTATAAATATTAAAAGACCCGACAAGTGTATGTAATCAAAATAACGCAATTACTTTTATAAACTCTTTAATGAGTCTAAAACATTTCAGCTAAAATGAAGTTATTTTGTATGAATGACAATGTTAATGTTATATGTCAACGACCACGTGATTTGATAAATTCTTGATAGACGAATATACGCATAATGAATTTGTACGTTCTGCGTAGAATACGCGTCATTATACCTATACGCGATTGTCGAACTGGTGTTCAACACTGAACGTTGTCGGAATACGCCAAGAAATTATCATCATTTTTGTACAAGTTACGAATAAACTATAGATACTTATTTACTATGGTTCTTAATAAAATAAATATAGTAAACAAATTATTAATACCAAAAATCCAGTAACAAACCGAATAATTTTAAATGGAGATATATGATGTATTTAATTTTTTATAGGTGGATTGATCGAGACAAGTGTGAAGCAGTGGAGGTGTTCATTCAGGAGTGGTTAGACTTAGGAGTGCGGTATGTGGGTGGATGCTGTCGCACATATGCGGCAGATGTCTCACGTATCCGCAACCAGGTCAATTGTTGGCGCGACCGTTGGCGCTTCCAAGCCAAATATCAAGCTAATCTCAATTCTAATAATAGTGCCGTCGACTGAAACCACTGAAACAACGGGGAGACAATCAAATCGTTGACTTCTATTTTCATCTGTATGATATTTAGTTTAAAAAAATGTTGTTATTGATAATTTATTTGCATTTTATGTAAATTGGTATCATTGGATATAAATTTTGTTAAACACATTAGCAAACAGATTATGCTTGGTTTTTAATGTCTATAAATACAATTTATCATATTATTATTAAAAGAAGTTCTTTTAGCCCTTAAACTTTTCATTACTTTATTTAAACAGAAAGAGTTTAATAAATTTTGTTGTGTTCAGTTAAAAGATGGTATATAGGTACGACAGAAATGCAACATCTGCTTTGTTAAGGCCTTACTACTTTACTTGATGCCGTGTACATTTGTTGACTTTTCGACATTATTCAACGTGGCTTGCAGTGTGGTTTTTAATATCATGACTTTTAGAATATTACCGTCAAATGAAGAGAGGTAGTGATGTTTACCGACATCTGTCATTAAAGGCATTCACACAAAGATAAAATATTAAATACTACTCGTACCTACTATTTATATCTGATTGAAAATATTTTGACAGATGTCGTGCGATAATTGACAATGGGACAAGTTGCTGCCGCAAGGCGTATGGACCCATTGTATATTGTATGTTTTAGACCAATCCAGAAACGATATAAGTCTTTATTGTTGCGGTTTGGTTAGGGCCTGGGTCGGGGCGAAATTTTTAGCAGCCCAGAGTCAGGAAGCTGGCGGTGTTTCACCCCCGTGCCTCGGAAAGCACGTAAAGCCGTTGATCCTACACCTGATCTCTCTCCGGTCGTGTTGGTTTACCGTTCCATCGGACTATGAGAGTGAGGGAATAGAGAGTGCACCTGTGCTTGCGCATACACTCGGGCACTATAATTCTGTTCTGCACAGATGGCTAGTCTCCGTTGGGAGAGGCCGCCGTGAACGGAATTCGGTCTGGAGGACATTAAAATAGTACATCGGTTTGGTACACCATGCAAATTACATCAATGTCGTACTGACCAATCAAAAAACGAAATAACAAGTCTATATCCTTTAATATGCGATCGACATCGGCTCGATATGACGAGCGTTTGTTACATCGTTATCTTACCGACTAATCAAGAAACGCTCTTAATGGCACATACCTACGATATTTTAGCTAACGTACTGTCACCACTGTGATGAGAGAAAATATTTGAAGAAAACTTTGCACAATGTATACAAAAGGAACGATAAGATTGGTTGTATGAGTTTAGTTTGTTGACATAAGACGAAGGTCGACATTCGGAAGCTGATGAAATGTTCGTTTCCAATAACTTTCTTTGCGAAATACCAATCTATTAAAAGTACACAGGAGTTTCGGGAGATAAATGGAAGCATTTTAATGAAAATTATTTTTTTGATCTTACCTACATACGGGAAGGTATAGATAAAAGTACATAGTCGAAACGGTAAAACTACGATGAGAACACAATATTGGAAATATAATTACATTATCCGTATAAAAGTGCGCCATTTGGCGCAATAATAGCCAATGTGTAAAGATCGATGGCAGTTTTTACCACGTTTTTATTAAGTCACTTTCTTTTTTGCCTTTCGTTCCGGGTGGAATTTAGTAATTGATTTTAAACTTACTTCCCAATGAGCTGGAACACTTGACATTTTGAATATAGGTCGAATTAGGATGACAATTAAAAATAATATGATAAAAAACGTGATTTAAAAATTAATTTGTTATTTTTTATGCCTGCTAGAATGTAAATTTAAACACTCATTGTGCGGTGCCAATTTTTTCAAACAGCATAATATTGCCGAGTTGTACATAAAATGGTACGCCTCAGCTAGTTGTAGAAATATAAATCTTAATTATTACTGGATTGCTATCAAATTTACACGAGGCCACTGTACTGTTGTGCAAAATTGAATATTTGATTGAATGACATCATATAAAAAAATAAAAAATAATAATCCTCATACTTTCTTTATGAGTCGTTTAAAAATAATGAAAGTAACACTCGAACTTACTTTTTGGTACACTGTATGCAAAAATTTCAAGACAAATCGAAACAAAGATAGAAATTAGTTTAAAGCAAAACAATTTTTCGGTAGATATACAGCTAGATAAGAGAGTTTTAGGCTTATCCCAGCATTTCTACCTTACTTTAGGCAAACTCAATAAACATTTAATGTAAAAAAAATCTGAAATTCACATTTTAAAACATCAAAAGCTGTTTATAAAAGGACAGCCGCAGAGATAATCTAGACGTCTAACTACACGTTGCAAAATGTGAATATAAATTTAGTTTGAAACATTTTACATAAATAAATATGTTCGTGCTGATGTTCATTACAGAAATAATTATATTTGATATTTGTCTCCGAGGTTAGGTGTAATAGGTGCATTGTGTGTATTAAACTAGAACGAATATGTCTGTTTTTATCTCGCCAATATTGCTCCGTTGCCCTTTGCTGGATCTACATGTACTGCAATGGCGAAACGCTCCAATGAATAGCCATTGAACCGAACTAGCCGTCACAAGCCGCCATATTTTAGTTTCTATTATAAACGAGCATTTTTAAATAAAGATTCAGCTACGTTTATTATAAGCATGGAGGAAGATTATGAGTTAAGTTAGTTAGGTTACAACCTTTATGCGTCCCACTGCTGGGCTCAAGCCTTCTCTCATTTTAAAAGGGTTTATTTATTTATTTATTCTTTATTGCACTAAATATTTGTACAAAAGGCGAGCTTAATGCTATATGGCATTCTCTACCAGCTAACCTTGGGTAGAACAGAGAGTGAGTTTGGGCAGTTAAGTTGTCATGATAAAATTCAGTTCAAATATATACATGCAACACATACATAAAATAATATAAGGGTTCATCATTATAGACTATTAAAAGTCCACTGTTGGACATAGACCTACCCCAGAGATTAGTTCAACGGTGCATTCTAATAGGGGTATATTTGCCATAGTTGCCAACCGTGGCGGGTAAGCAACCACAGTTTTTTAATATTTTGAGCTGTTTTCAGGAAGATGCCGCTGCTCATTTGCTGTTCCATTTCCCTCTGTAGCCCCTTTTTACACTACTTTACAAGAATATCTATACAAAAGGAAAGGGTCAATGAGCAATTAGTCCACAGCGCTCCTCGAATGAATATTGGCGAACTTCACATGTCCTCAATAAATTTGACTTCTTAGACATGCAGATTTTCCCACAATGATCCATCACCGTCGGGCACATGGCAATCAGCACTTAAAATTGCAATTAACAATTCTATTGGTGCCGGCGAGTATCGAATCCTGGGCCTCTATGTTACCATGGGTCTCATGATTATGCAGTTTTTAATTAAAATAAAATAAAATGCTTAATTCAAACATTATTTGTTAGTACAATGTTTAATTCTGTGTTAGTACTTACAAAGAAAAACCAAAACCAAAATAACATACTGAGGCACTAGATACATAGACATGAGAGTGTATTCAGTGCCTCAATATAGGACAGTCAGTTTTCTCACTAACAACTTTTAACATGGTGTTGGTGCTCCACTTCACCCTGCCCATCAGTGAAGCAAATTCTTTGCGGCTCGATCAGGGTAGAACCATGCTCTCACAGAACACTAGCGTAAATATTTGACGGTGGTAGAGCCACGCGGCAGCTTTTGCTGTTGCACGTATGGGCCGGCTAGAACCGGGTTGGTACCACGACCTCACAGAATACCGGCGTGAAGTGGAAGTTCCGCTTCTGCGTACTTCACTCCTGGGGGGGGGGGGGGGGGGCTCAAAATTCTGCTCGAAACAATAACTGCTCAGGGTAAACTCAACAACAAGACCAAGGTGAACCCTGCCACGCTATCCGTGAATTTCTGCAACATCAGGGGACTTCACTCGAACCTAAACGCCGCCCACTACCATCTCGAGACGGTAAAGCCGGCCTTGCTCTTTCTGAACGAGACGCAGGTTTCCTCTCCGGCTGATACTTCGTATTTCTCATACCCGGGGTACAAATTGGAACACTCCTTTGTGCCTCGGGCTGGAGTTTGCGTATACGTCAGAGAGGACATCTGTTCTCGACGCCTCGGCAGTCTTAAAGATTCGGACCTGTCCATCTTTTGGCTACGCGTAGACAGCGATGACCATCCGCGCGTCTACGGGTGCCTCTATAAGTCCCATAGCGGTAATGCCGAAACAGCTCGACTCATCGACCACGTCCAAATGGCTACAGATTCTTTGCTACAACAGGTCCTATCCGCAGAGATCGTGATCCTTTGCGATTTTAACGCCCACCGCGCCGAATGGTTCGGTTCATGTTTAACCGATCATGCAGTATGACACAACTGATTACTTCGCTTACGCGGATTCCAGACGGGGAAGATCATGCCCCCTTCCCTGTTGGACCTTGTCCTGAACTGTCATGCGGACAAATATAAGTAATAATATATATATATATATATATATATATATATATATATATATATAAGTAGTAATAATAATATAAGTTTCCGTCGACGCCCCTCTTGGCTCCTCGGACCATTGTCTAGCCAGAAGTGACGCTCGCTGAAAACGCGCTTACTTTCTGCAGCCTGCCGCCGTGTTTGGCACTATAGGTCGGCCGATTGAGATGGGATGCGGTCTTTCTTTGCATCCTATCCTTGGGGTCGGGTTTGCTTCTCGCCGGACGATCACAACGTTGTTACTAATTCTGTTGCTCATGTGGTACTTCAGGATATGGAGCTTTTTATTCCTTCCTCTATAGTCCCAATCGGAGGCAGATCTTAGTCATGGTTTAGTCGCTCCTGTAAAATAGCATCACGCTACAAGCAGGAGTACTACCGGGCCTGAGCTGACACATCAACGTCCCGGGATGTAAATATCAGCGCCTTTAAAAAGAAGTATAATTCGGCCTCCAAGTCCTTCAAAAGAGTCATTGCCAAGGCAAAGTCAGAGCACATAGGCAGAATTGGCGAGAAACTAGTTCGCCTTCATTCGGCAACCCATGCATTTTGGTCTTTTTCCAAGGCTATCCAAAGGAACTTCTGTCAGCCATCTCTTCCACTTCTGCATAAGGAGGACAACTCACTGGCCCATGGCGCAAAGGAGAAAGCCGATCTGCTAGGCTCTTTCTTTGCGTCCAACTCGACTCTCGATGACGGGGGCAACACACCGCCGACGATCCCGCGGTGTGAGTGCTCCATGCCGGAAGTGCGGTTCTCACTGCGCTCGGTTCGCAAAGCAACCCTCTCCCTGGATATCCACAAGTCGAGTGGGACTGACGGAATCCCCCCAATTGTGCTGAGGACGTGTACTCCAGAGTTGACACCGATTCTAACGCGTCTTTTCCGGTACTCCTACTACCTAGGCGTAGTCCCGAAATCATGGAAGACGGCTTTCGTCCACCCGATCCCTAAAAAAGGTGACCGCTCAGACCCATCTAACTACTACTAAATCTAGTCTAGTTTAATCCTCAGAAGACTTAAGTTTATGCGTTTACCGCTAAAAAGAATCCCTTTGTCGTATCTCCTCAGTTTCAAGGCACTCCCCTTGTTGCCTCAGCCAGTATCGGAATCCTCGGCGTTGACATATCGAGTGGCGTGCAGTTTCGTGGCCACTTGGTAGAGAAGGCCAAATTGACCTCTAAAAAGCTTGGCGTGCTCAGCAGAGCGATACAATATTTCATGCCGGCACACCGCCTGCAACTTTACAAGGCCTCACATGGAATACTGTTCCCATCTCTGGGCTGGGGCTCCCCAGAACCAGCTCTTTCCACTTGACCGCATCCAGCGCAGAGCGGCTCGAATCATCGAAGACCGAGTCCTTTCCGATCGGCTCGATTAACTAGCGCTACGAGGAGATGTTGCATCCCTTGCATTTTCTTTTGCATTTACCACGGGGAGTACTCTGAGGAATTGTCCGGATTAATCCCAGACGCCAAATCCCGAACGCACATCACGGCAAAACTCACGATACCATCCACACCATATGGATGCTTGGCGGCCCACCACTGTACGTTTCACTAGGATTTTTCTTCCGCGTACGACCTCTCTGTGGAATAGCTTACCACCTGCGATTTTGCTAGACCGATACGACTTAGGGACCTTCAACAAATGAGCTTACTCCTTTTTAAAAGGCCGGCAACGCACCTGCAATTCCCTTGGTGTTGCAGTTGTACATGGGCGGCGGTAGTCACTTAGCATCAAGAGAGCCGTCTGCTCGTTTGCCCCCTCTCCTATAAAAAATAGCAGCTTAAAGCTGCTGTGAAGGTGAATGTGGACAACCGGAAAACCTTTTACCGAAAACGAGGCATTCCATCTTAATCCTCAGGGGTTACAAAGCATCTGCATTTTGATTCTTAATTGAGGATAAATGTAGATACTTATGGACCACAGCATCCACTTACAGGTGAACTGTGTGCTCGTTTGTCACGCTTATTCTATAAAAAAAATAAGTGTGCGCGAACGCAAACATAACTGATGCACTACAGTGTTGGGTGAACACCAACATCACCCTAAAGACGTTATTAAATTCGAAACACTAGAATTTCGCTCGTTTTCACATCGTATAGAAGGCCGTGCTTCTGCGCATAGCTCTCATAAATTGCCAGTAGCTTCCAATGCACACTAACTGATAAACTCAAGATCAACATGCATGATGGCTACTGTTCATACTCTACAATGAGCTGGTTTATGTAAAGATAGAAGAGCGCTGAAGATGTTAGTCCTCTCTGTTGCATACCGCACATCAAGCCATAATCATCAGAAAGCGTATTTCTCCACCTGACCTGGTTATATTAATCACTTGCTGGTACGCCGGTATCTATAAATTTAGACCATAAGATGTTATACTTAACCAGGTTAAAAGCCTTCGAAATGGTCAAGAAAAAGGCTGCATAAATAGGAGCACTCCCTATAGTTTAGTATTTGACGGTAATGTTTAAGCGACAGAATTG